AAAGTTTGTGTAAATTTACTAAGACTAAAATAGTAAAATTAAATTTTGTATAAAAATAGATGAAACAGATATTGGAGTTGTATAAATTTTAGTAATATTGTTTAGTAATGTGGATTTGCAGATCTTGGATATCCTAGAGAAACAAATATTTCAAAAAAGAAGAAAAAAGTTTTGTAAAAACTAAATAAAATTTTTGTAGCAAAGTTTGAAAGTATTTTGATTGTAGTTTTGTTAATTTTGGTCTATTTTTAGTATATTATATATCAAATGAAGCTAATAATAAGCTGAATCTTTTTGTATTATAGAGCATTGAAAGTTAACTTAATAGAATTTTGAGTTTTGATCGATTTATAATTTTGTAAATAAGAGCTTTAGAAGTTTGAAGCAAAGCTACCTATAAGTAAAATTTACTATAGAACCGTTTTACTTAGATGGCCAAAGTAGGTTTACTTAGTAGAATTTAGAAAATAGAGTAATTATTTTTAGAGAAAATTTGGTACAAGTGATTGTCAGAAAGAGTTAATGATTTGCATCCAAATTTATTTGAAATGCTAAGTTTAAACCTAACTCTAAGAATAATTAAAATTAGAAAATTCCAAATTAGCTCAGCATATATATAAATGAAGAAAAAAGTAAAAATACCCAAAAACTAGTGTTTAAATTAGTCTTAATGCACTAATTAAAAATAGCAAAAATGAAATTTTATATATAATAAAAAACAAGAATGACTATTATAATTATATAAATTGCAGATTACTTCTAAAGTTATCCTAACCAATCAAAATTACAAATTTTTAAAATAGAATTGATATAAAATCAAACAAAATTTGAACTAAAATTTATATTTTATATTTAATAGATGATTCTCCAGTCATCTAGACAAAAATATTTTTTTTATATATAAATTTTACTATAGATGCAAATGCTCAGTGTCTCTATTTAAAACCTTTTTTTTACTAAATAAAATGCTCTTGGGCTTGTAACAAAAGTTGTAAAGCTCATCAAGAAGCATCTAATAGTAGTAAGAATATTAAAATCGGCTTGGTGGTTCTTGAGAAATCTTTAAAAAACTTCTTTTTCACATATAAAATTTCTTTAAAAAAATTGATTTTTTTTAAAAAAAATTTTATATATGAAAAGGAAGTTTTTTAAAGATTTCTCAAGAACCACCTGCTGCATTTTAATGTTCTTATTACTATTAGATACTTCTTGATGAGCTTTACAACTTTGTTACAAGTCTAAGAGCATTTTACTTAGTAAAAAAAAAGTTTTAGATAAGGACACTGAGCATTCACACCTATAGTAAAATTTATATATAAAAAAAAATATTTTTGTCTAGATAACTAGAGAATCATCTATTAAAATAAATACTTAAATATTTCAAAAATACCTTATATATTATTACAAAATAGACATATATGTCTTTATATATATATATATTTCTATATATTAGTAGTCTTACCAGTATCTTTATTAGATCAAAGCACAAATACAAGTACAATATAAACTATCTAAATTACAGATCTGATATCATTTGGCTTTCTCTATAAGTGCTCAAATATAGTCTGCTTTACTGATTAAGGCTATCACCTATATCAAGAGTTGCACCAAGCTAGTTAGCAAAACTATAACATACTAGTTTCAATTTAAAATAAATTTTCTCTATACTAAATTGGCAATTTTTCTCTTTTGATCTATTCTTCTTTTAAAATAATAATTTAATTCTAAATTTACAATATTAATCAATTCTGTATTATTCTTTTCTAAAGGGTTATTGCCAAAGATTTTTTGATCACACTTGCACTTTTTTTCTATTTTTTCTAGTTTATTTAATCTTTTTCAATTGGTGATCTAGCTCTTAGAAGTCTTCTCAGGTTTTTTCTTTTTATACTTTTACTTCTGTTCTAAAACTTTGTAGTTTTTTTTTTTCAAGGAGCCTGTCTACAAGATTTTTTCTAGAAGTGTTCTTTTATAAAATTTTTCTTCTACTGTCTGTCTTGAGTTTTCATTTGGTCTTCCTGTTTCTAGATCTTAAAAGGTCTGTTCAGGGCTTTTTTTCTTTTTTTTTTCTTTTTTTTTTCTTTTCTGAAAGTCAATTTTTTTTTTAGAAACTTCTTTTAAATTTTGATAAAAACTTTCTGATTTCTAAACAATTCTACTAGAATTCTTTCTACTATTTTCAACAAAGAATTCTTCTTTTTCATTTTTTAATTTTTTGATTTCTTTTGATTTTCTTGCCAATATATTTTGAATCAAGTTTATATTTATATATTATTAGAATCTTGACTAGTGTATTTAGTCTGTCAATAACTCTTTTGCTAGCTTTTTTTATTGCTCTGTAAGTCTTCACTACTTGCTTAATATATTATTTCTATTATTCAATTTCTTGGTATTGTTAAAAAAATTTTAAATTTTGATTCTTCTTGAATTTTTTTTAAGATTTTTGCTTCTGTAATGGCTTTTATATTTTGATCTATTGTGCTTTTTCTCTTTAATTCTTTGATTTTTTTCTCTTCTTTCTTGTACTGGTTTGCTGTGATCACTTTGAAGGATTCTTTGAATTGTTAAACTAGTATCTTAGGTTTGTCTTGTTATACTACTTTTGTCAAACTTCTCTTTGTTTTTGAAGTTTCTTTTTCTATTCTAATTCTATCTTTGACTTTATTTCTTTAGCTTGTATTTTCTTTGACAGACTTGGCTTTTCTCTTTATCTTATACTAGTTTGCTGTGGTAGTTTTGATAAATTCTTTAAATTGTTGTAATAATCTTTTTAGAGCTGTTTTATTGTACTGCTTTTGTCTACTTTTCCTTTATTCTTAAAGAATCATGTTATATGTAAAACATTTTGCGCAGTTGATCATCAGCCAATCAGGTTGTGCCACATATGATCTATATATAAAACATTTGATCAAATCATATTTTTGGTCCGATCTCAGCTTTCTGTAATTGGATTTGAATAATCTCACCATCTTTAGATTAATCTCAATGAGCTGATTCGAATGGTGGTAATTTCATCTTGATTGAACTGGTAGTTGCAGAGATATAAGCCAAAACAGCTTTTTCTTAAAGGTTAACAGTACTATATTCAATTACAATATCTATGGTATTAAAAATATTTGGGACATCTAGCTACAATATCATACTATTAACTTTTTACTTCAACTCAATGACTCTAGTTTTATGAGCAGAGAACATTCAATTTTGATAATTTTTAGATCTATATTATACAAGTATATATATAAAATAATAGTATAAAATCAGAATTTTTGGTTATTAGCAAACTTAAAAAAAAATAAACTATTCATATAATTTTTTTACTAATTAAATAGCTTCCTAGCAAATATCTTGTTAAGAAACTCAATTTGAATTATGTTAAATCATGCAATAAAAGATAGATTTATTAAGAGTTGAAATACTATCTACCATATAATAGGAAATAATAAAAAATATGATATACTGCTTAATTCATAAAGTTTAATATTAGTTTTTCTTTTTTTTCTTATCTATTATTATTTAAATAATTAACACATTAATTTTAATATAACTTTACAGACTGTTTTCGAAAGTTGTATATTTCTCTAGAAGATATTTAATTCAATAGAAGTTATTTAATATATACAATAGTATAGTTTTGTTAATTATATAAAAGTATTAAGAATATTTTTTATACTTGTAAATTGTTATTATAAGCTGGATAAAGAGTTTTATTTTTCTAAAATAGGACTTATTTTACTTCAAAATTAAACTATAAAAAAAATAATAATATACATATTATACTTGTTGATTGGCTGCATAGTTTAATGATTATCTATCTGTTTATATCATATGCTAACAATATAGTTTTTAATTGGTTGACTGCCATATGAAAAATTTTATACTTTTTCAAAAAATGAGAAAGTTCTCTATGCTAGTCTTATGAGCAATAGTACTTATATCAGACTCTAACAACCTCAAAATAATCTATGATCTACTACCAATAACTTTTAATATCTACAACTAATAATTAATAATCTAAACAAAAATACTACTACCTACAAGATTATACAATTTTTGTAGCAACTTCAATTAAACTTATACTCATACTCAATATATTACTAGCCTTACATACTTCAATATTTTTATATTACTATAGAAAAGATTCTTATTACAGTCACACCTCCTAAGTGCATACCCTCTAAGTGCAAACCTTCTCTATATGCAAACTATTGCTCGGTCCCGAGCTCAAAACTTAATTACCTTCCATATTTCGCATATGCACAAGATTTTGAAGTTCCATACATATATATGTATTTTCATAAATACATATACATGATTAAGTTTAAAACTAGCCAATAGCAATATGTATCATTATATCTATTGTTCTAACATGCTCTTACTAGTATATCTTGCACACAAAGTACAAGAATAAAATGAATCAAGTGGAATATTATTAATAGAAAAGATTTCTGACTGATAAGTATTTAATTTTACCTGTCTATTACAATACAAAAAACATTTATAATTTTTTGTTTCGCATAATATAGAATTATAAAAATGACTGCTCACCTGGATTTTTTTGCCTAAAAAAGATTAAAAACTTATAATTTTGGTTTTTTTTAAAGCATTAATAGTAATTAGCACAAGATTTTGCATTAAAAAATTATGAAAGCTGACCCGGCCAGGTTATAAGAAACAATAATTTTATATGACCTAACCAAGCAAAAATTTTAGATCTTTATTAAATTGAACTTTACATAATATTCAAAAAAATCTATTTAATTCTCTTCCGTAAAAAATTGATCAATTTTGCTTTGTTGCATTTGGCCTGCCTTTGTTTTATTAATAAACTTTTTAATTTTTCCTAGAATATTGATATATTCTTCCATATCATCTTGCTGAAACAAAAATGTACGTATAGTTTCCAAACTTGTATTTGCTATATCAGTACTAACTATAGGGATTTCAAGGCTATCATCTTCATTTTCTATATCTTCCATACTGGCAATTGTTGGGCCATTAGTTCAGAATGTTTTAACAAGTTCCCTAATAACTTCTTCATCTGAAAGAATTTCGTAAACAACGTTTTCATCAGAAATTTTTAAAAATTCTTCAACTTGCATAGAGTAGAAGAGGCCAAGAGTTTTAATTGCATTTGCAATATTGCTAAACACAGGATCTGTAGTTTGATGAAACTCTTTTGAGAGGCTTCATAAATAGGCATTAGTATTTACAAGAAGAATTTTTGTATGGCACCAACAATTCTGAATCATATCGACACCAACTTCTTTCCAACTTTTAGCAATAAAATGGATAGCTTGCAACACATCTATTTTTAAATCTTCTGCATACTCTTCCTTTTCGATTTCTTGTAGCATCTAGCTTAAAAAGAATATAATTAGTATTTTTTTTTTTTAAAAAAAAAGAAAAAAATCTAATTTCACTTTGTGATTTTTTTTTATTTTTTTTTTTAGATTTTTTTTTGATTTTTTTTTGATTTTTTTTTTGATTTTTTTTTTTAATTAAAAAAAAAAAAAAAAAATCTAAAATCTTACCGAATATGATAGTGATGATAAAACCTTTTGAAACTCATAATAATTTTGGCATTCATGGGTTGAATTCTCAAAGTTGTGTTTGGAGGCAAAAATTAAATGTTAGTATATCAGAGAGTAATGCTGTCGATATCATAACTAGAGCAGTTGTTAAGGAGTAAGAGTACATATTGGCCATTATGCTTAAGACCAACTTGGTGGTCAAATTTTTTAATTCAATCTTGAAAGATGGATGTAATTATCCAAGCTTTAGCACTGTTTTT